AATCATCAGAACAGCAATATGGTATCTAGGATCCCGAGGCCATCTCATATTCCCCTGAATACCAGCGATCATAGAAGGCAGTACAAGCGCCAGGACACCTACACGAAAATTCCAGCCGTCGGGATGATAAGATACGACACGGACAATAAAGAGCAGTACGACAGCAGCAACCGGTTGGTCATTTGGGATTATATTTTTATTTTATCTTATCTTTTATGAGATATTGGAGAATGAATAGTGAGATTGTATAGGAGATTAAGAATTTAGCATTTTTATCGCAAAATGATCTCCAATCTATGAAAAATAAATTGTTAATTGTATCTAACTTACTGTGCAAAAAGTAATGAATTAAGGGAATAAATTAATTTATCCTATGATCGACACATGAAGCTTTATGGAATATTGATTATTTACTTGCGGAAAATTTTACAGATTGCATGTAATTAATTTTTTGCTATGCTTAATTCTTAATCTATCATGTTTTAAACTTAGTTCCAAACGAGTAGATTCAGTATATTGAACCACTTACCCCTTCAATACTCGATCCACCCCTCGATCCTTCCCGCTCGACTACGCTTCACGCCATCTGTTATTTCCGTGGTCGAAGGTCGCTGTTGCAAGGGGGTTGTTTCGCGCTAAAAGGGGTGGGAAGAGGGTTGCACGAGACCAGTTGCAGAGCCGCGTATGACGTACTTCGTGCCGGCCGAGCGTGCCGGATAGTTTGTTGTTCTTTTTTGAGTCCATGGTTGCGCGCGTGTCGAACTGCCGAGTGCGTCATCGAGTCTTCTTCCTGGCACGCTCCAACCACGACATAAATATCGCGACGGAAGACGGAAGTCGAATATCGTTGCGCGTCCCGCGTCGTATTGGCGGTCTTGCAATGCTGAACGAGTAAACGCATCCTCGATCTCGACAGATCGATGCTGCAGCAGCAGCAACAGCAGCCGCAGCGAGCCGCTCCGCGTTTATTCAGCGATCTCGAAGTCTCCGATATCCCGCCTTGTCCGGCCACGGAAGGGTAACGTCTCTCCCGCCATAATCTGATCTGATATCTTGCTTCTATTTACAGCACGCTCATTTTGCCATTAATGTCCTTGGTTTTGTGTTGAATTTTTATATTTAATATTTAAATTTCAATATTAATAGCCAATATAACACTAGCATGGCTTGACGATATATTTTTATAGTTCAGAGATCTTTTTTATTTAAGATTTGGAATTCAACCTTTTTGATTGTGTCAATTATTAGATTTTATTAGATAGTTTTCATAATCTCCCTTACATAACAATGTATAAAGAAATAATTAACTCTTTAGTAAAAGACTGGTTGTATGTGTGTATCTACCAAACATTTTTAAAAATAGATAGAGAAAGAAATGTTTTTTTTTCTCTCGTAGCATTCAACAATTGCAATCCGAAAGAACCAAGGATGAGAAGATTGCGACAGAAGAGATGCGTAACATGGAGAAGGAGGCGGATAATGATGAGAAATCCGAGCTACCAGAATCGGCTCTGTTTCAACCAATTCAAGACAAGCCCAGGAAAAAGGTCGAACCCTCGAAAGAGATGCAAGCCGCCATGAAGGTGCTCAACGATAGTATCAAGAAGTCACCTAGCAGAAATATCTCTCATCAGCTTAAGAACGCTACTAATATTATACAGCAAGAATGGTTCAAAATATCCAGCACATCTAGCGCGAATCCGTTAGATGTCGAGGATTATTTGGATCGTTTCGAGGAATGCTCCAGCACTCTACTGGAGTACATTGTCAACATGACGGACACCAGTGGAAATACAGCGATGCACTACGCGGTCTCTCATGGCAATTTCGACGTGGTGTCTATATTGTTAGACTCGAAAGTCTGCGACATTAATAAGGCGAACGTGGCTGGTTACACGGCTGTGATGTTAGCTGCTCTGGCAGAAGTCAGAAATTCCACGCACGCCTCCGTGGCGAATAGATTGTTTCAGCTTGCCGATGTCAACATCCGAGCAAAATTGGTAAGCTCTCTACTACACTGTAATAAATATAATAGGACCACCATGTATAAAAATTCTCTCCTATTTTTCCTCAAATATTTTTATAATTCTTTAATTTTGTTTTGCGTAACAGCATGGGCAAACTGCGCTGATGTTGGCGGTATCGCACGGACGCAAGGATATGACGCAACTGCTCCTGGATGCCGGAGCGGCGGTTAATATCCA